CTTCTTTGAGTTGAGCTTGATTTGCTCTATCGGCGTCGTTGAGCGAGCCGTTGATATTGCGGTTGGCGGCTTTCTAAATGGGTCTGCTTTGGGAAGAGTGCTTCTTCAACATCGGCGGGGACACAGCCACGGTTGTTTTGAAAATTGCCTTTTTGCGGGGTCCGAGTCATCTACCGGTTAGGCGGTATCCTGCTTTGTAACAAGTCGAGAGAGCTTCCAACTTGGACTTAATTTCTACCGATATTGTTCCCGGTGCAAGGAAGAACTTGTTTCCTCTCCATCATCGTCGAAGCGTCAATGGCAAAGGAAAATAGGCTGTTTGGGGAGTCTTGTTCTGAGAAAAAAAAGAAAAAGAGGTCGATTAAGGATAAGTATGAATATTATAAATCGACTAGGTCAATCGGCTTACCTGTTTCAAGGCAATTTCCTGTACTTGGCTAGAAGAAGCAGTCTGGAGTATGCTGTGTGGAGGATCGGCTGAGCTTGCCGATGGGATATCCTCTGTGGCCTCATCGGTGGTTGGCTCTTGGGGTATGATGACCGATGGTATGTCTGTCTGGGAGGATCAGCCGCTTGCTCGGTTGCATCGATTGATTTGGCCGGCTTGCGGACGTTAGGGGCGAATGTGGGGATCGGCATGGACTTTGTCGTTTTGGCTATGCCTCGGCATCTGTTAAGGCTTTGCGCTTTGCTTGGGCCTCAACAGCGGTTGGTTGGGGGCATCGGCACTTGTTGGTTGTGGAGCTTGAACATCCGATGCACGCTTGCCGATGTACCCATTTGTTCTTCGCAAAACAAGTGTAAGGTATGATATTTAACAGATAAAATGTAAAATCAAAGGAATACCTCACGAAGGTTTGTCGAGGTAGTGGTGCTGATGTCGGAGGAATTGCCGATGATGATCCAAAATGGCGGCTCTACCTACCGATGATTAATGTTAATCGATTTGTGATCGGCATGAGTAGAAATAAGCAGGGTTGTTACCTTGAATGCCTTGATCGGGGTTATTGACTGACCAATGGAGTGGCCCTAATTGTAGCCAATTTGGACTTGAAAGTGATGGTCTTGCACGGGTCTTACGGTGAGTCAAAGCGGCTAAGGTGGGGGCGTTGTAGCCGATCGGTGATATCGGGAAGCGGGCCGAAGATCGAAGGGTTTCCACTTTTGCTCATAGATGGTCTTTGGGTTGTTAACTTCATCGAGAAAGTTAGTTACCGATATATGGAAGGAAAAGCGAAGGGAGTTAAAAGAAACTTCTTGCATCATCGGGAATAGTGTATTCGAGGGTCGATCGTGTGCCGATATGTGTGGCGAGATATTGCAAATAGTTGTTTCCCTCCTCTCTCGCCACCATTGCTTATATGATTCGGTGATGAAAGATGTTGGTGTCGAGATGGATATATCGACATCGTAGTATCGGCATTGGGGAGAGTAGCACTACCCTGCTCTAATCTGTTCCGCAGGTGATTGTTTCTCTGGGTTTGATCACATCGGCAAAACAAAGTTTGATTGGCAGTTGCCCAAAAGCCAATTGACGGGATCTTGGCGATGGATTGTAAAATTCATACGTGATATTGGTGTTTTCCCGCTACCGAATGTGTTTCTTTGGGATTGCCACAGGAGTAATGATGGCCATCATGAGTTCATTATATTGATTGAGTGTCATCGGCAAAGTTGAAGAGAAGGGGAATCTGTTTTCTTCGTCAATATAAGGTACCCGGGCCCTATGATCACGAAAGAAAGACCATTGTAGAAGTTTTGGAAGAATCTGCCGATCGATCTTCATTGGCCTCTGTTCGGGGAGGACAATTATGGCTTCACCAAAATTGAGGGGTGGCGTGTTGCCGATTCCTCATCCCCAAGCATGTGGTCTTGAGCAATTTCTCGTGAGAATTGTTGGGCAAAAGAAGTCTCATTCTTGAGGCGTTTTTGCATATGGGCATTTGACCACATGTTGATAAACCACCACGGGCCTCCTAAATTGCTTGATGGGTTCGCCAAGCAAAAGTTTACGAGACACTTGATGAAGAAGATGATAAGTGGAGCTCGGAAGGTATCGGCCAAGAGGAAACCTTACACCATTGGCCAAGAGTTCACCATGAGGGAGGAAGGCGTTGGTTGGTCCTCTTGATCGAACACGAGAAGATAAATTTTTCTAACCACATATTCAAGAATGTGGCATGTTCCCTCAGTTAACTGTCCCGGTCCTCTGGCATTCTTGAATATATCCCGTCAACACGCCGATGTTGTGGGTATTCACCCTATGTTGATTTTACGCCATAGATGGAGCCTTCATCGGCGGTTGAAATGTCCAAGCGGTGAGCATGTAGACATCGGCAAGTGTGGGGAGTAGTGGGCCATGTCCAAACATAAAAGTATTTGTTGTGTCTGACCAGAAGTAAGCAGCTGCAATCATCATTGACTCGTTCTTTTGCATATTGGCAATGGATAGCCTAATGCATTGGTCTAGCTTCCGTTCTGCCCAATGTACTTGCATCGACCTGTTGACCCTCAAGTATCAATCTTTCCACCCTTTGGTGGTTTTGGGCCAAGATCGGAATGTATCTTTCCATAAATTCAGAGAGAAATTTTGGGCTCTAAAAGGGATTCTGTTAACCTCTGTATTAATCAGATCAGTTGGATCTGGGTTGTCCATTGGTCCTAGGCATTGGAAATGCGGCTGATCGGTTGAAATAACTAATTTGTTGCGAAGTTCCTAAGTTTAGAGGATCCGAAGAACAAAGAAAAAGAGAAAAAATTACCAACTGTATGAACTCGCCAAGACCAGAGGAATCGAGGTAAAAAGTAACGGAAGTGGAACGAATGGCAGGGACGTCGAAGTTGATTGCCATTATCTTGAGGTAGATGGGGGCATGAGTGGAGACTCGAGGTTTGTTGGAGAAAAGTTCTTGTTGGTTGAGGTCGCATGATTGTTCGTCGGAGTCACCGCCGGAAAGAGAATGCCAAAGGTTGGAGTCGAGGGTAGAAGGCGAGCGTTAGGAGAAATCTATTTATAAGCCGCTTGGAGTAGGGGTATTACGGACTTATCTCTATCTATGCCGTGCACATGTGGGTCGAGGTGGTTCGGATGGATATGGTAGCTGTTCACATGATAATCAAGGGATTGTGCTGGATGATTTGATGGCAAGTAATCATGACTTGGAAGAGATCTCGGTACAGGATATTTTAATTCTGAAAATGACGGCATTATTATGTTAGGATCTTACCGATGGATTATTGATTTGGTATCTTAACCATAATCAGGGCAAGGGTGGTTGGAAATTATGCGATATTTACTGAGGTGCGTGAATCAAGACTAGATTTGATTAGATTTGATAACAGATCAAGTTTTGGCTTGGAGGATGAGTTACGGTAATTGGGCGAAGGCAAGCGTTATCTGGAGTAAATTTGAGCATTAATGGTTTTATACTCTCGAAATTGGGGGCATGTGTTGACACCGTTTTTTGCGTGTCAAAATGATCGAGTGGGCTAATCGGCGGGGAGGAGAGTTATCAGTATCTGACGTGTACCGTGAAAATCAACTTGTAAAGATGGTTGCCGATGAATGGCGGTGATCGATGGAAAGGTTGATTTAGACTCGGGTGTTGCCGATAAGGTTGGAGATATTAGTGTCGATGCCGATGAAGGAAGGCTTGAAAACTACTGCCGATGAAACAGGAAGTATGCCGATGGAAAGGAGGTCAGTGAGAATTCCATCGTAATCGAGGCGGACAGGGAAATAGATAGAAGTTGATTTCCTTTTCTATATTTGTTAGAGTATGATTCATGTAAGAGTCACGTGTTTCCTTAGATATGGAATTGGTGTCCTAGTCGTATTTGGTTTTGTCTCTTTAGATCAGGGTATAAATATAGATTGAGGGGCAATGTAATAAAAAAAAAGATCAATATCAAAAAACCAATTTTTACTCCTATTTGCATCTACTTATTTTTCGGCGACTTCGTCAATTTGCATATTTTTCCTTTTTACGAGTTCTCATTGATTCGACGAGTTGCATCGTTTCAGTGCAACCTTCGGCGATTCTCAAGTTCCACGTGAGTACCTCTTGTCCGTAGGTTGAAATTCGGAGCTGGAACATGGCCTCGTACAGATCTCGTCGTCCCCCCCCGCATTCCTAGTGTGTGCGTGTGTAATTTCAACAACAAGAACTGCTCGTAAGTTGAAAATCGTGCTGTGGAATTTGGGTTTGATCGTGCTGCTGGCCCTGACGTCTTCTTTGTTCATGTGGGCACTTTGCTTAGGCTAACAATGTTAGTACACCTGAATTTGATATCCATTTCTCAAAGGGGGTAAACTTACTAATTTAGAGAAGAGGTGACTATGGCCCCGTTCGTTTGTGTTAAATTTGGCTTGTTAAACGGAATAGAGGGCAAATTCAGTAAGAAGTGTTTTTGTACTTTGAAAGTTAGCCAAGTGACGGGGCCTATATCAAAACAAACGAGGCAACCGAACGTACTTTGAGGAGCCAGGCTTAGACAATATAAACAAGTGCATGTTGACTTGTTAGAACCAGGTTTAGCCTAGACAGACTACAATCCTAACTCTAACTAAGTCATGAAACCAGACACAGCCATGTGCAGCCGTGCTCCTGTCCAGTTGCACTTGCACGGTTGCCCCGCGCATGGATGCATGATCCTTCCACTTCCCTAACGCAAACGCGTAGGCGCTGCCGTCCAATCTCCACAGACACGGTCAGGCCGTCATATTCGTATTCAACGGAGAACGTAACTGGAGAAGCGAAGCACTTGTCTGGTGTCTCTTCCGGGGAGCACGTTTTCGCGACCGAGAGAGGGCATATATACTTCTTCCGAGCTAAAGGGCGAAGAAAGACACGAGATCGATCGAGATAGGAAGCAGTGCTGCTGGCTCCTGCCTCGCGCCATGGGCAATTGCTTTGGCTCCGACGTGCCCGAGGTGGGGGCCGTCAAGGCAATGGCGCATGCTCATCACGCGCACCCCAAGGTATCATTCGCTTGCAGACATGCTCCCTCCCTGTACGTGTCATCGGTCATCACACTGCTTCTCTGGCCCTGAGGCACTTCGTGCTCATGTTCGATTTGTGCAATGCTTTTGCAGTGGCAATGGCGAAGCGCGTCATGGGCGCGCCCAGTGGTGCTCATCACGCCGCGGCGAGCCAAGGCGTGCCCGGGAAGAAGTCGCCGCCGAGCACGGCCACGACCACAGGAGGCACCGGCACCGGCAGCGAGCCTAGTCATCAGCAGCAGCTGGACGGGCGGATCCTGGAGGTTCCCAACCTCCGGGTGTTCACGTTCGCGGAGCTCAGGGCGGCCACCCGGAACTTCAAGGCGGACACCGTGCTCGGCGAGGGCGGGTTCGGGCGGGTCCACAAGGGCTGGGTCGACGAGCGGACCATGAGCCCCGCGCGGAACGGCGCCGGCGTGCCTGTCGCCGTCAAGAAGCTCAACCCCGAGAGCTTGCAGGGCGTGCAGGAATGGCAGGTGAAAAGCGCTTTCTGGTCAAGCCATTGCTTTCTAAACTTTTTGATGGCTGCAGCTCCGCATACATTTTTCTTGTTAAAATCGAGCAGGATAGGACGGAAAAGAAGTGAGGAGACTTTAGGCATCGTCAAACCCTTGTCCGCGAAGCATAGGTCATGTCATTATAGTTCTTATCTTGTTTCTAGATGCTGCCACCGTGTTCACATGCCCATAAGGCCATAATTTCTTTTCAACAGAGCATAATTCTCAACTGCTAAATAGCTGTGCACTTCTTCGTTTTTTTTTAAATTCCCCTCAAATCGCTGGCAAATGCTACGCCACTCGCCACGTTCACACGACAAACGCAACAAGAAACTCCAGTTGACATTGGTGGTTGAGACTGAGATCCGCATTGAAATTAATGTCAGACTTTGTGTAGGCATGATGCGCGCTTAGTGATCGTCACGTCTGATTATTTTTTTTTTTTTTTCTGCTAATGTATCATTGTAATTGGCGATCACTTGTGTGCAGTCTGAGGTGAATTTCCTGGGGAGGCTTTCGCATCCCAATCTGGTGAGGCTGCTGGGGTACTGCTGGGAGGACAAGGAGCTCCTGCTGGTGTACGAGTACATGGCCAAGGGCAGCCTGGAGAACCACCTCTTCAGAAGCGAGCCACGCAGTAAGTTTGTTGCCATGCTTCTTTCTGATGCCCGAGTTGACTTAGATCGGTTGCTGTGGTCTCTGGGAATTGTAGTTTGGTAACGGAGATCACGGGGGGCAAATTGAGATCGTTGCACGTTATTGTGCTGCAGCACATGTGCGGTAGCCGGTAGGTAGGCTAGCTAATCACATTTGTTTAATGAAAGCACGCGTAGGCCACAGCTTGTCATGTTCCTTCATCGTCACATGGCATCGAATTAACCACGGTCATTAACAAAGTTGCTTGTGCAAGCAGAGGGCGGAGGAGCCGCGCAGCTGCTGCTGCCATGGAGCCTCCGGCTGCGCATCGCGATCGGCGCCGCGCGCGGGCTGGCCTTCCTCCACTCGTCGGAGAAGCACGTCATCTACAGGGACTTCAAGGCCTCCAACATCCTTCTGGACACGGTACGTTACGCACGCGCGATCTCGCTGTCCCGCTCCTGAGTCCTGACGCCCGCGCCACGCCGCCGCCGCCTAACAGCTCCCCTCTCCCTCCCACCCCGCCAGCACTTCAACGCCAAGCTCTCCGACTTCGGGCTCGCCAAGGACGGCCCCGCCGGCGGCAGCAGCCACGTCACCACCCGCGTCATGGGAACCTACGGGTACGCGGCCCCGGAGTACGTGGCCACAGGCCACCTGTACGTGAAGAGCGACGTGTACGGCTTCGGCGTGGTGCTGCTGGAGATCCTGACGGGGCTGCGCGCGCTGGACACGGACCGGCCGGCGCCGCAGCACAACCTGGTGGACTGGGCCAAGCCCTACCTGGCGGACCGCAGGAGGCTGGCGCGCCTGGTGGACCCCCGGCTCGAGGGGCAGTACCCGTCGCGGGGCGCGCAGCGCGCGGCGCAGCTCACGCTGCGGTGCCTCGCCGCCGACCACACGAACCGGCCCTCCATGCGGGAGGTCGTCGCCGTGCTCGAGGAGATCGAGTCCATGTCGTCCAGCAGGGCGGCAGCGAGGCTGGATGGCTCGGCGTCCCCGCGCCCCCCCACGGCGCGGAGCGGGCACAGCCAGCGGCCAGGGTCGGGGTCCAGCTTGGACTGGGCTGCCCCGGCTCCGGCCGGCGGCCACAGTGCCCACCCGTCTGCTAGAGTGACAAGATAGCCCCCTTATGGTTACCGTTGTAGTACGTTGGAGCGTTTGAGCTTGAGCAAAGCATTTTCTCTCGTGTGTCCTGTCGAGCGCGCAAAAAAAAAAAGATCCAATGTAGAGACACGTCTCATTACTTCTCGTCTCGTATTTGCGGTGTACAGTGCCCCCATCATGAACAGGACTGCAGGATCGAGTGGAGCCTATTGCAACTGATGCTAATCCATGGTACCCGTTTTGGATTAATTAAACCAAGCGCATGTGGTTGAGTAATTGCATGTCATGTCTTTGATACTAGAGGATAAATTTTATCATTATTTGCATATTTTCACCTGAGACGGGTGTTGCCAGGCCCCTCTTTGGTTCAGCTTCACCGACAAATTCACTGCAACACTACTGTTTGACACTGTAGTAGTGGCTGTTTTTCTCTCTGCCATAGGATGAACTAGCATTATGCATTGAGACGGGTGTTGCCACATAATTCATTTCTCTTGGATCACTACTCACTGTCACTGATGCAAAAATACATCATGATTCATGAATTGAAAAAATACAAAAAAAGAGAGAAGGAGAATGCTATTTTGCAAATAAAACATGACACTGCAACAAAGACTAAGACTGTTTGTTTTGAGCTTTTGATTGTTTTTAGACTACTATCTTTTGGACTTTTTAAAAATCAAACCGCTCTTATAAGCCAAAAGCATCGAAAGATATAAAAGCTAAGGTCCAAAAGCTCAGGAAGCCTAAACTAAAAGACCCTAACTTACCGAGCCAGACTTTTAATTTCAGCCTGTACAAGCCAAATTTCAGCCTGCACGGCAGCGATGGCTATGGACTTCTGAAATCCAACAAACTTACTTCAGTCGTCGTCGATTGTCAGACCACAGGGCCACAGCAGCACAAATCACAAATGCTCATCAGGTTTCTGTATGGAACAATAATATACAAATCTATGCCGGTACTATTTTAATTACGTTAGAGTGTCTTATTATCACAATGATCAAATCAATGAGTACAAATGGGTAATCTTGGTACAGTCCAACCTTTTTATTATCGTTGCAGTCTCGCAGATTGAGTTCCAGATAAATGATACTCACTCCATCCCAAATTATAACAGCCCGTTCGCTTTTGTATTTGGCTTATAAGCCATGACTTATCAGCCAACGAACAGTATTTTTCTCTCACACCAAACCAGCCAACAGTACTTTCAATCATGGCTTATAAACCAAACCAGCCCAAACGAACAGGGCGTAAGTCATTCTAAAAAATCTTGAAGAGTCAAAGTATCTCAAGTTTGACCAAAATTATAAAAAGAATTATAAAGATTTATGACATGAAATAGATATACTATAAAAATATAATTAATAAAAAAATCTAATGATACTTAGTTGGTATCATAAATGTTATTATCTTATCATATAAATTTGGTCAAGCTTAGAATGCGTTGACTCTTCAAGATTCTTATAATGACTTATAATTTGGGATCGAGGGAGTACTGGTATACTATGCAACACGCCTCTATTTCAGGGTCCAAGCTTCAGTTCTCAGGTCATGTTCACAGTTCACACTCAATTTGCAACAATGTATCGAGAGACAAATCTGAAAGGAAACATTCCACTCGGAAGTTCAATCCAACTTGCAAAGCAATGTTCCAGCTGATGTCAACCAAAAAGAACTGGTAACTCATGGTCCTAGAACTTCATTACACGACCCACATACATCGTGTTGCCTGCAACTGAGGTAAGGATAAGACAATGGTGATCTGCCTAGCACAACACAACCAGACCAGATCCGGATCACTACAAATGTGAAGAAGGATGGGTCTCAAGGGGTTAAAAGCCAAAGACAAAGTTGTAACGTTTTCAAGTCGTCACTTCTTTTGCTTCTTTCCGGGCTTAGTCTTGATAACCTCGTCAATGTACAAGATCCCCTTCCCCTTGTACACCTCTGGAGGTTTACAGCTCCGGACAGCGCCGGCAAACTGGTGCACCCTATCCTTATCGATGCCGGTGCAGCAGATTATGTTGGGTTTGAAGCAGAAGACACGGACAGCTGGGGGAGCGGTGAACTGCACCTCATGGCTGAATCCCAGTTTCAGGAACAGCTCACGGCCTTGGCTCTCTGACCTCGCTTTGAAGCCAACCCCAATGAGCTTCAGGAAACGGAAAAATTTCGCTTCCATTGATGATAAATAAGATCTTCCAACAGCAATACTTTGGGAGCCAAGGGAGTGTTCGGCTGGCATTAAATCTGCACTGTAGCAGATGAAAACACTGTTCATGCTGGAATTTGGTGAGAGAAAAACCCCTGCTCCAGCTAGAAAAAAAGACAGGCCAGCCAGCCGAAGCTGACCAGCCAAACACGCCTCAAGTTATCTTTGACACAAACAGAAAGAAGAGCAAAAGTTTCTCATCAGAACAGTGGAAATTCAAGTGTAATTAAGAGTAAATTTTGTGTGCTTGACTAAATTATCTAGATAATACCACACCAAACTGAATATCAAATCAGGTACGCCATCACATAGGATTTATCCCACTTTGTGGGTTATTATAGTGCAACGTCCGTAACTGTTACTCAAATAGCAAACACTTTATAAGGCTTCCACAAGGCAAGAAAGGGTGATGACAGACGAATGACAATTGTGAGACCCTACTACAGAACCGTCATCCAATAATCCAAGGCGCGAAAGGAAGACAGCTGAAGTTATAGTTATACCGAATAAGGGTCAATAGCATTGAATTCTCTAAGTTAGTCAGCCAAGTAACACTCTTGTAATAGAATGGTAGCTCTAAAATGGTTCTAAGTTCAGACTGACACGGGAATGTTTTTATGCATGTGCAAATGTGCAAAACAGAAGCTCCGCATGACAGCTGATACAAGGATTATTGGATGGCTGTTATGCTGGACCTAAACAAAAGCTCCGCAAAACAGAATCGCACCTAAAAATTGCTTCTGTGTTATGCTGGCTGTGGCATCACATTTCAATAGGATTAGGACAAATCTAAGATAGAGTATTTCGAAATGAGATCTCTGACTTGAGAGTTTTAAAAACTGCTTCTGCGTTATTGCTGGCTGCAGCATCTACATTTAAATAGGATTAGGAAAACTCTAGATAGAGTATTTCAAAATGAGATCTCTTTTCAATTACATATATCCCTGCTTTTGCTAATGTAAGATTGGAGGATAATAACCACTACACAGTTCAAATAAAAAACAGCAAGTCTGTTATACCTCAATCTTTGGATTAAACCCTATGTAACCGACCATTCTTTTCCCCTCAATTTCTTTCGATGTACTCACTCCTCATACCTCCTACATTAAATTCAATTGCAATCCTCAGTAAACCCTAGACTATCATGTGATCATCCTTTCTGTACTCCAAAACAACTCAAATTTTTGCTGTCTTGAGGACAACTCAAAACTTTTGCTACAGCTTGCAGACCTACTCTGATTGGTATCACCATAACAAAGCAAAGAAGAAGCAACAATGAAGCAAAGGCTATTAATCAGGTAGATATAATCTCTCTTTTATTGGAAAGACTAATTGACTGTTAGCTTTATACTTACCTCATTTTTTTTATCAGAAATGTTCCTAACCAAAATATTGAAATAGTGCTCATCGGCAATGAATGCCTGACAATTTTCTCTATCATAATTACTTACCATGTCTGTACGTTTTAATATGTTAGCCTAACCTACATCTGTACTACGACTTTGTTTTTGTAGAAGCATAAATGCAAGGATAATGGCAAACAATGTTGATTATACAAAGGGCGTACCCAGTGCAGAGAGCTCCCGCTCTGTGCGGGGTCTGGTGAAGGGTGTTAGTGGCAAGCCTTACCCTCGCATGTGCAATGCAAGAAGACCGCGACTCAAACCCGGGACCTTCCGGTCACAGGCGGTAAGACTCTACCGCTTGCACCAGGCCCGCCCTTCAATGTTGATTATACAAATATGAAAAAATATATTAACATCAATTGCTGATTATTAACAATGTGCTCAGCACCTTGCTCTTCAAGCTAAAACTCAGAATCTTGCTGTCTTCAGTATTAATTCACCTACACGTCATGATATAGTCTGATGTCTTGCATATACTCAAAGGATTTATTTTCTTGATGGGTTTTTACTCAAAAGTTTCAACACAACATACTATTATCTTTAACCTGTGTACACATGGTATGTTTTAGAATCCAGAGGTACCAAAAGCTACATTTCTTCTTATATATATAGCCTAGCAATCTATTTTTAACAGGGGATGTTTTCATCTGAATTCAGGAATCTTTTATGAAGACAATTTCATTGCAAACTGAAGACCTAGCTTTCAAGTTACAACTCTCTACTACATACATGAAAACGACCCTTGCTCTTTTGCTGAAAAAATACATAGTATATAATATCAAATAGTAGATTGACCAAGAGCTAAGGAACTCCTAACAAAAACTAGACCCTTATCCAATCTACAAAAACTTGACTTGTAGTTAAGAGCATTTTGGTAAAAATTATAATGCAGCTACCCACGGCTACATAGAGATCATGCCCAGGGAAAAATTTTATGGAAGACTTATTAGTTATTACCATCTCTCTGACTGCTGCTTATTAACACTTGGTATAGAGAGCTTAAAAATCTAGATAATGCGCTAGATCAAAATTCTGACCATATTAGGCACTATGTGGTGTCATCATCGTTAATTAACCTGATAATAAATCAATGGGAAGTACAAAGAATCAGTGGCCATATCTCCTTCAGATTGAATAATCTACATCTACATCTGAAAGGGCCAAACACATAAATCTAATCCATTAGAGAACTTTTCTTTAATTAAAAAAATGCGACATCTCTGGATCATTAAGACAAACAAAATTAGGCATGGGTAAAAGTGTATTGGACAACTTAATCTCACACAAAAGCAACAAAGAGGAGAGAAATCAAGAGAAAATAAAACATATATACATCGAACAGCTTCTGTACCTGCCTTACTTCTTAAATCCAGCCTCAAAATAGGTCAACGAGCTTTACTTTTGCCGGCCATAACCCTCAAGACGCCCCTAAACCAGGTGTATATCCAAGAGCTCGCCCTTGCTACGGCTACAACGACCACAGATACCAGCGTTTGAGTAGAAAGACCACACAAGTTGATTCGTACAGCGCAAGAAAGATACTATCTCCAATGACAGAGCAGTAATGGACTCAATATATCCTATCGGCACATACACACTTACAGGCCCACTGGCCCTGCTACAAACGTTGGAGAGCGGCAAGGCCGTGCCTAGTTTTCTAGCTTACCTGAAAATCCTACCATTGCCAAACCAAATTCCGTCAGGTCTTGAACAGCAGGTGCGGATCCAGTAAAAGGACATGGGTCTACACATGATACCAGATAATTTTTGCAAAAATAAAATCGAGGTTAAGGCACCGATCAAAAAGCCAAATAGCTATCTTAGGTTTGGGTGCTCGGTTTCTAACAGCGGGAAGGGAAGAAAAGCGGTGGAATACCAGGTGGTTGCTTGTTGCCGGCGATGGGAGCTACGAAGACCTCGGCATCTAGCGTAGGGCGGCGGCGGCGGCTGTAGCCCATTACCGTGAGAGAGTGCACGCGGGCTGAAGCCTGAAGGGCTACGGCGGTAGCCCAGTCCGGGCTCTGGGATCGGTTGTTGGGTCGAGGGGAAAGCGGCGGAGGCGCGGAGCGCCCGCACGGGGCTTCTCCTGGGCCGTCCCTTTTCCATGCAACATTTTTTTTCCTTTCTTTTATTTTCCAATTTTTAATTCTTCCTGATTTCATATTTATTGTTTTCATTCATGGGCAGCAGCCATCTAAAACCAATATTTCACTAGCCATTGGCAGCACTAACTAATATTTCTTTCTTTCCTTTTTCCCATGGTAGCACCCATCTAAAATGTCAAACGCAAACAGTGCAACAACACTGACTATCTATTGCTGCAGTTAGATTTATCCTAAACGGTAAATGGTAAATAGTTGATCACCTTTTGTTTAGCGTTTAAGCTACTTAGACGGTGTCTACATAGGGTTAAACGGCCTAAAAGGTTTTGAATAATAACACTAAAATATATATGTTTATGTACGTAAATTTTAAATACGGTAGAATGTATACATATTTAAGCAGGTAAAGAATAAATATTCTACCAAAATATTGGAAGAAAACTAGACCCAACTTGACCTCATATACTTACAATGTCAATTAGTTGGGTACCAAATGTGGTAGTTGTAACACTCCTATTAACTAAATGATGAATTAAATGTTTGTTTCGCACAAATCATGTTACTCGATTTTGTTTAGACCGTTTAAACAGTTTTTAACAACAGTTTAGGGTTTAAAGGACACAGGTGGCTTTCGTTTGCCATTTAAATGTTGGACAAACAGCTGTTTAGGCGAACATTGGCTAATACCATACTGAGTTGCATATATCCATCCGTAAGCCAAAATTTCAAGATGACAATTAACTTATACTTTTAGCAGTTAGCAAACTGCATTCCATGGACAACACATTGTTCTACTTTTTCGCACTCAAGGATTAATCTATATCAACATCAGCAACAAGCAAAATAACATACAATGGTACGAAACTCAATGCGCCTCGTTTGCATACCCCCACCAAAAAGTGCACTTTGCCTATAAAAAAACTTGTTGCTACATATATTAGTTGATCTCCACTAGCCTATTGGGCCCTTGATCTGCGCCCTGATCGGGGACGTCCAACTCTAATATGGTTGGTGGGCCCCTGTCTCACAGCACTATAAAGAGAGGTGTGGGGACCAGGGCTCGGACGATGAGGTTGACTGGAGCCGCTGTAACCACCCACAGAGACACCTAATCCGATCTAAAGTGAATGCTGCCAGCGACGGGAACCTCCACCAACTCCGCCGTCACCTCTGCATCGCCCCTTGCAGTGTCACCACCGGGCCACTGGACCTCGCCTCCTCTCCACCGCGCCGAGCTCCCTCGACACCGGCGTCCACACCGGTGTCCACGAGGCTACGGCGTAACTGCGCCAGGGCGAACTAGAGGAACCCTAAAGTAAGGTGCTTATCCCGATCTATGGTTTAGAGGCACTGCTGTAATCTAACAATATCTACTCCAATGGACGCCGATGAGAGCTTCGCCTAAACTACATTGACGAGCCATGGTCAGTTAAACTCAGAAGTTATCCACCAAAAAATTCTATGTGAGCAGCATTTGCCCAGTATGTTCTGCGTCAATGCCTACCAATGAGGACATGCTCATACTGTTACATTCTTGTTCACTATGAAACTTTGGCGCGCTCTCTGGATGACCTTTCCTCTTCGGCATGTCTCAGGGTCTGCTCGAATGCTTGCAGCGAATTGGAGGTGAAGCTTTCTAGGGCTTGGACAACACGCTGCAAGCTACTCTGCAAACTGCTTGCGTCAAGAAGATGTTCCTGGTATGTTTGCGCGCTTGGAAGGCGGCTGTGCCGGCCTGGTACCAGGGCCAACTTCCTGTTCAGCATATCTGCCTCCTTGTTGATCTCCAGAGTCTTCTTTTCCAGTATTTTGTTCCATCTTTCTCTTTCCCGTGTAGCAATCATCTGCTCCGTTTGTTCAACATTTTGTTTCCCCAACAGCTTGCGCACACTGGACACAAGAGCTTGCATAGAGGTAACCACTTCCTTCTCGGAGAACCGATCCATGGCTTGAGACCAGCTGTTGCAGATAACAAACACAAGGGGAGCACCGACCCTTCCAGGTGAATAGGGAGGAACTCCATCGACTGTCTCTTCAGTCTTGTAGTCAAGACAAAGTGATAGCCATCCATTCAACGCCTTGACGAAGCTCCTCTGTTCATTCACCCAGAAGGAAAAATTGACAATCCATTTCATCATCTCTAGTTCAAGATCTAATGCCAAGTCTCGACTCCTTCCATCAGGGACAATTGAATCCAGGTTTTTTGCCTCTGAGATCACTTGACACTGTATCTGGTAGCAGTCCAACTTGTCTCGCCACATTCTCACAAACCTACAAAGAGGGACATCAGTCTTCTAATGTGTGCTAGATTCCATGGGAATATTAAATGCAAGATTCTTAGCAAATTAAAACTAACTAAAAGTTCTATTCCGATAAAACATACATGGCTCTCGATTTCGACCAGAACGTGTTAAAAAATTTATGTGTGGTTGCTTAAAACAACCTCATAGAAATGCAGGACTACTGGTTTTTTTTAGGTAAGGACTACTGGGGTTGCTTCTACATTTGGTTGCTTCAAAAAACAATTTAATGCAGAGGCCAGAATAAAAATTCCTTTATCTAAAAAACTGGGGTTGCTTCTATACAATTACCTTATTTCTGCTATCATCATGACATTTGGTTTATAATGCTGTATATTCCAATCCAATTACCTACGCAACTCGGACTATTACTTTCTGATAGAGCATTTATATGATTATACATACTAGATAAGCATATAACCAGTGTAAAGGAAGCAGACAGAGAACTAAAATGAAGCATCTGACAAAACACTTCAGAATGAAAGGAAAGAACATACCCTTGGATTAAGGCATTAATTTGTGGCCACAATTCCTCGTCCCTTACTTTGTTTATCCTTTTGGAGACCTTGGTAATTACTCTAACAGATATTCTTAATTTTGCTGACAGCTTCCTGACCATATTTTGGGTCGTGTCGATCTTCTGAGCTTCTGCACCTTTCAGATCCAAGTACTTCAGCCGCTTTGCATTCTTCGCAAGCAGCAGGCGCATTTTCTCTTCAGCCTAAAAGAGGAAAAGAGCAAGAAAATAATTAACATGACATAAAAATTACAAAAGTCACGCATTGCAAGTGACAATGTAATATGTATAGGAAAGAACAATGGCATCATGCATTACTTATAAAGTTACAAACAAATCCACCATCAGAAAACAAACTAAAAAAATGATCTATAAAATACATCTTACATTAGCACTATTTTGGAACAAGTTTGATATTGAATATATATAGTTTAATTCTGGCCATTTTTCTTGATTAGTACTTCCAATTGTGGTTGGTCAGCCCCAAAAGGTACTTTACACGGTGTAAAGTCAATAAACTCTTTCCATAAACAAGAAGCGCGATGGTACAAGATAGGCAGAACAGTTCTAAAATTACATGGTTGGGGAATGGGGACGTGTCTGTTTGATAGCGAGGAGGGGCCCCTGCATGCTGGGAGCATGTGATCAACCTTAAGGATTCAGTTGTTACACAAGATAAGGCTATAAATAAAATGATTCACAGTGCTCTCTCCCAACTTCAGATAAGAGATTCTCTGTTAAGACTTGTCTCAGTGGCTCCGAGTGGAGATCATGGGACCACTATGGAGCAACAAATTAGCTTTCTGGCACTGTGAATATCAATTTCATGTATCACTCATTTGAGTTGATTACTGACAACAATGCACACATACCTTAACCTCATCATACAATTTCTTCTCCCACATATAGAGCTTCTCCAGTGTCAAAGACAGGCTTCTTCCTCCCAACACCTTCTCACTTCCAACATCCAAGAGCTCGATGCCTCCAAGGTCCGAATGCGGCAAGGCAATAGCTGACACCATACTAGATGAAACTATATCCAAATACCAACAAGTCAAATAAAAGAATTGGGCACAAGCTATTCCAAAGACGTGCTGAGTACTGGAATAAAACGCTCACCATGGTACACTGAGCTTCGGTGGTGGTACCTCCGCCTCCCGACCTCAAGAACTGGTGAAAGTGCCCTGACAGCGTCTGCAGCTCGGACAAACTGCGCCTTGATCTCCCCGGCAACGTCTGTAGTGTCAACGGCCCTCCGGGGTGCCGGCGCAGACGCTGCAGTGTTACGTTGCGTCGGCGCCAGGTGCCGCGCCGCGTTACCCCCGCCAATGACTTCCTTATCGACGACAGAATTCTCCTCTTCGTCGACCTCGGCAATGCTGCTGCTGACGCCGCCGAGCGAGCTGCGTCGGCTGCGTGCGCCACTCCCGGGCGCCGAGAACTCACCGGCCACCTGCTTGACGACGGCGTCGTCGTCCTCGAGCTCCGGGATGCCCTCTTCCTCCCGCACCTCTCGCGAACTCCTGCTCGGCGTGTACGCCGCCGACGTGGCCCCAGCGCCGCCAGCGTCGTAGCAGTAGTTGTCGTACACGTCGTAGTCGCCGAACACGTTGAAGAAGTCCCACGAGGTCGTCCTCGGCGGGGACGGCGGCGGCTGCGGCGGATCGGTCGTCGCCCTGCCTGCGGGCTCGCCACCGTACGAGTAGTACCGCGTGTCCCCACCCGCCGCCAGCTCGACGGACCCGTAGTAGACGCGCTCCGATGCCGCGGCGCGCTGCTCGACGACGGCGACCGAGGCCGGGGGCGGGCGGCTCCGCGCGTAGTAGAGCCGCAGCGATCCCGGCGGGTACCCACCACCGTAGGGGGACGGCTCGGGCGCGTACCCGTAGCCGCCGTAGCCGTAATGCGGGTACGGGAGCGGGTGGTGGGGAAGCTGGTCGTAGCCGGCGGCGAGGCGGCGGCGGGGAGGCGAGGAGGTCACGGAGCCGGAGTCGGAGTCGGAGGACGGCGCGAAGTTGATGTGCGACGAGGAGTGCGGCGGCGAGGACGCGGCGGCGCGCGCGTCCACGTCCTTGCGCGCGGCGGGCAGCGCGAGGCGCGGCTGGCCGGGCGCGGTCATGAGGAGGTGGAGCGCCGCGGCGACGGACGCGAGCGAGTCCGCCAGCGCGTCGTGCGCGTCGGCGAGCGCGTAGCGGTGGCGCACGGCCGCCGCGAGCAGGTCGGCGCGGCCCCGGCACAGCGCCACGGCCTCCTGCTCGTCCAGCTTGGACCCCTTGCACCCCATCGCTCGCCTCGAGCAAACCCGGAAAGGTCGGCCGGAAAAAAACTCACTCAAACCCTCGCGGCGCGGCGCGGCATGGCGGTGGAACGAATGGGGGAGACACGAACGACGAGACGATGACGCCGCGAGCGAGAGCGAACCGATGCCGGGTGGGCTGCTGCGGATGATTATAACGCACGGATGCGGCGCGTGCGCGAGAGACTGATCGCTCGCGCGCCGCCGGGCCGGGGTGGGGTGGTGTTGATGGGAGAATCTTCTCTTGGGTTTGTTTGCACTCGCGCGCCCTTCTCCTTTCTTTTCCAGGCTTGATGTGGCAGGCGGCTCTTGTTGGCTGGCTTGCGGGGGGGTGAAACAGACGGAATTCACGAAACGAAACAGGGGGTGGACTACACGACGACGACGGTCTCTCCCTCTCGTCTCCTCCAGGGCGACGGCGACGCGAGTGCGGGGAACGTGAAGGGGGAACGGACAAGCGAGCAAGGGAAGGGAGGGAGAGAGAGAGAGGCACACAACGGAACGGGGCAGGGAGGCAACCCGAGGGCACGGGGCCAACGGCCAACGGCCAAGGCCGTCTTTGGTGAAATTTTTGTATTTTGGTCTCTTTTTAAAACATTTTTTATATAAAGACTTATGCCAAAATTTTTGCTACAAATAGATCATTTTTAAACGTCTTAGGAAATCACGCCGAGGTATGAAGGTCGGCGTCGACTGACACGACGCCGAGTCCTTGCCACGTCACCGACGACTTTGGGGCTGGCGCATGGGGCCCAATACGTCGGCGTCGTGTCAGCCAACGCCACAGGCCTAAATTCGGCGTTGTGGTGAGTCACGCCGAGCTCTTGGCACCATCTGGCGCGCGGCCCAGGCGGCCCAACAACGCTTCGTGGGCCAAGAGGTCGGCGTGCGATCAGATGACGCCGAGACGCTAACCTCGGCGCGGCCTGACTCAACGCCGAGGTTCGGTCAGTTGAGGCCGCGCCGCGGCCCCCTTCTTCATCCTCTCTCCATTCAGAACCAACAGGTGGCCATTTCTCACTCCCTCTTTCTTCCCACGAACCCTAAATCCTAAATCCAGCTCTTGGGAGGCCAGATCGAGGGTTTTGACGTTTTGCCAAGGTACTCCTCTTTCCCCTCTTTCATTTTATCCATTTAGATTCGGTTGTTTGTGTTTTTTTTGAACTTGGCATTATAGGTTTGATTCATGTTCATGTCATTCGTGCAATGTATGGTGGTTCAAATGATTGAATGGCCCAAATGTATGGTTGTTGTTGTTGTATATGTTCTGGTTTATAATCATTGAGTTAAATTTTTTGTTTGTTGGGATTCAAATTTGCTTAGGGTTTGTAATGAAAAGCTTATTTGGGAGGTATGGTGATTTAGTGTTAGTAGCTTTACATTCGTTGCAAGGTACTTTGGATTGATTTTTTTTCTACGTAATGTTAGGATGCCAAGGCGTGGTAAAGCTCGTATTCCAATGTAATCCCAATGTTTATTCATTATTTGTGCAACAAATAGAAAACCCTAGGTTTAGGTTTGATTCTCCGTTAATATAACTAAATTCTTCTAATTGTAGCTATGGTCGCCAGAGGGCAAATCCCTACGACCTAAAGCTTCTCCCTGAAGGTGTTCCTCGACCCATATGCTTTTGTGGTGATCCTTGCAAGGTAGACGTCTCTGAAGATGAGGAAACATATAGACAAAGGTATTGGATGTGTCCCAATTATGCATGGGAACCTACAAAGCAACAGCGCCGTGCATCGATTGTGAGGAATTTTTATTGTGTGTTAATTAATTTTCTTGTGATATTAAGTATTGCTTATTTATTTGTTTTGTAACAATTTATTTTTCTTGCAGACCGTTCCACCACTGTGTGACTTTGAGCAGTGGATTGACACTGAGATCAATGAGTCGGACAAGCAGCATCTAGAAGGCCTGAAGGAGTGGGATGCGGAGGTTAATGAGAGGTTTGAGCAGAGACAAAGGACCATAACCTATGTGAGCGGGGGAAGATGGGCATGCTTCGAAGTTATCATTTCCTAGGCCGGACTCCTTACTTACTACTAAATCCAAAGATCGCACTTCTGAAGCCAACACAACTGCCTTATAATCATTCAATTCAGACTCGCTTGTAATTTTGAGCAACCGTTTGATCCGAGGACCCTTCGACGACCCAACATCTATGACACCTTCAAACTGAACATGCACGTCTCCTTCATTCTAGCATAACTTAACCTTCACTCGCTCCACTAACTGGGTCAAAGATGGTGTTTTAGAAAAAATTCAACAACTCCTCACACATGTCCAGAAATTCCAAACTATCATCTCTTGTCCTAACAATATGGCCTCCATGATGTAACCTCACTAATTTATCCATCTACATCCATCACACAACAAGTAGTGTCACATATCAATATATCATGCGAGTTTCAATCCAATAAGTAGAAACTAAAATATGTCATTTCATCTTTTTCAACCCCAACAACATAATCATTTCTAGTCATAAAAAATTGAAATCTAATGACCAACAAATAACTAAAATACATACTAACCCTAACGACCAACAAATAACTAACCCTAATGACACCTACAATAAACAGAGAACCATAATGACCAAAATAACTAGAAACCAAACTAACCTAATATGTTTAGCACATAGCCGGCGCTTTCAGAATGGAGGGAGGAAGAAGAAGAGGGCCGCGGCGCGGCTTCAAGAGTCCAGACCTCGGCGTTGAGTCGGACCGCGCCGAGTCTGGTGGCTCGGTGTTAAGTGACCCTGCGCCGAGCTATTGGGCCACAAAGCGTTGTTGGGCCGCCTGGGCCGCGCGCCGGATGGTGCTAATAGCTCGGCATTAAGTGACCCCGCGCTGAGCTATTGGGTCACGAAGCGTTGTTGGGCCGCCTAGGCCGCGCGCCGGATGGTGCCAATAGCTCGGCGTGTAGTCCCACCGCGTCGAGGTTGGGCCTGTGGCGTTGGCTGACACAACGCCGACGTGTCGGACCCCATGCGCCACCGTGTCGCCGTCGACCGAGGTCGTCCGTGACGTGGCAAGTCGTGTCTGTCGACGCTGACGCTCATACCTTGGCGTTATGTTCTAAGACGCCTAAAAATGGTCTATTTTCAGCAAACTTTTTGGCATAGATCTTTTTGTAAAAAATGTTTTGATAAGGGACCAAAATGCAAAAATTTCACTCCTATTTAACCCTCTTTTGTCCGCTTCTCTTTGGAGGGACGTGCGTGCCCGAGCGAGCGAGGAGCAGATCGACGCTCCCTCCCGCTCCCGTCTCCCCCTCCGCCCCCGCCTGGGCCGACCCGAGCAAACGGAGAGAGACGCGAGCAGATGCAGATGCAGATGCCGCCGCCGCAGGGCTCGGTTTGGTGTCAGGGGCTCAGGCATTGACGCCCGTCTTTGATTGCGCCCGCTCTCACCAGTCACCACGTACGGGCTTGACCGGTCTCCATCAGCGGATCCGCCAGGCGGCCAGGGTGCGACGCGCGCTGCCGCCTCTGCCTCTGGCCCTCTGCTCCTCTTCCTCTTCCTCCTCTCTCCCATCCCATCCCACGCGATTGATCCGCTGCTGTGGCGTGCGGCGCTTGTTTGCTTGGAACGCCTTTGCCCTTTGGCCGTGCAGGCCTTCTACCGTGCCAAGAGATCAGTGGTACAGTCATCAGTTTTCGAAAGTCTCCAAATCTTCGAGATTTTCCACGGCGATTTAATATTGTTATTGATAGCGGTACTGAAAATGTTCCGTGAAATGAAAAAGCGGGCTTAAAACTAGAATCAAATAAAAAAAAGTTACCACCACAATGATGGCCCGTGAAATGATCATGCACCAATGACAGGCTCGCTTTCCCTTTCCTTTTTTTCCACCCCATGCTCCTTTATCCCCGGCGTCGACCCATTTTTGACACTGTTTCACTGCTCCGTTCCGGAGTGGAAGCCGAGGACCACTCCGATCCGGTCCCTTTGCCCTTTGGGGGCAGCAAAACGCAGACGAGGCGACGAGAAGATTGTAGCACCAAGATCGCAACGCCACTTGCACTGCGCAGAGCATGTACTCCACTGACCTCGTTGGCCATGGCCTGGCCAGTCCTTGCCCTGTTTGCTGGGCTAATAAGTCATGCCTGAAAGTACGGTTGACTGATTTGTTATAAGAGAAAAATATTGTTTATCGTTTAAAAAAGTACGACTTATAAGTCAAGCGAATATGGCGTTTATCTTTTTCTGGCACTTGCCCTTGCGGTCTTGCCATTGCCATGCTTCGCCTTCCTTTTTCCTCTGGAGTCTGGTGGACTCGTTGCAGCTAGCATTGTTCAATCAATTTTCGTGGGGGCACACAACATCTGCCTGGTTCTTTTAACCCCATCAACCACTGTCTGGTTTCTTGGCTCAATCATTTATCCCCCTATTGTCCTTGCATATCACTCGGGCACGTTCGCTTCGCTAAAAAAACAAGCTGAAACACTGTTCCGGCTAATTTGTTGTGAGAGAAAAACACTATTCCGCCTTAAAAGTACGGATTATAAGAGAAGCGAATAGAGCCTCGATCTGAGCTTGGTGGCCCTTTTTCTTTGGCTTGCACTGTTGGAAATGGGACAGGCTCGCTCATTCGAGCGTGCGTGCGGTGCACCTACCGTCTGAGGTTCAGTCACTCGTCACTGTTCACCGCACCTCTGGCTCTGTTACTACATGATAATTCATGAGCGTGCACTGTAGCGAGGGTGGGGGCTCAGGACTTCATTACAAGCAAAGGAACGGGACCAGCTGACGGAGCTTCCGTTTCATGGCAAAGATGCTTGGCTTTGCAGAAGAGGCCATACCAATGAACGAAACATGCACGGGCACAAGCTCGCCTCGCCGGTCCTCCATTCCATCCGTCGTGGGTCGTGGCAGCGGCTATCATCCATTCGTCCTCCCGTCCTTTTTCCCACTGTTTGATTGGTGACCCAGCAGCTAGCGGAATGTGAGATGAGGACGTCATCCCACGGTCCACGGACGACGAAC